ATGAACGGCAATTGCCAAAGTGCAACAGCACTTAAAACTGGCCTATGCAGGAAATGGATGAAAGTGCCCAATATTGAAGTGGTTAAGGCCCCATTCATACTTGGTGAAATTAAATTCCAACTTGTGGCAAAATTACAGTAAAGGTGCAACACACTTTTGGGTGCCATTCACTCCTAATGACACCCCAAACATGATGTGATTATCGTGTGGAAAAAACACACCTTCAAAAAGGAGTGGGAGCACACACATTGCAGTCTATTCAAGTGAATGGGTCCCTGCCCTATGTTCCAGCGCTACATGAAAAATCGTATGAAAATTGTGCACACAAAATCACTAGTGGGAACACGAGCTCCTGCTACGTTTATTCCCCAGCAAATGTGAACAGGACCTCCAAAAAGCAGATTTATGTCAAAATACACAATTATATATTCATTATCCACTCCAATCTACTCCAATTAATTTTAATGCTCTTGAAGTTTCTAAACTTACTTTATGAAGATCTCCTTTGTCCCTGTGACACATATTCACTATGCCTTGTAGTGAAAAGCACTACTGTGTCACACATTCAAGCTGTCCTCACAGAGCATCCGCCTTGTGAACTACAGAGGTGGCTGAGAGGAGGAGCTTCAGGAGGCGGAACCAGTATAAATATAACTGCATGTAGGCTGCAAGGTTTCACCTTTTCCCATTTTAAGGACAAAAAAAAAACTTTTTTGTAGTCTAAGTCCCTGGTATAAAATGTTTTCATCCCTGCTTGTTCCAGCAGATGAATACGTGAGACCAAAAAGCACATCATTCAGAAAAACCTACAGTATGTCAGAAGACCTGGATTTGAGATAGGCATTTAAGTTAAGGGTGCCAATACTTTTGTCCATCATTTTTGGGGGTTGACATTATGTCAATTTGCTTTTTTCAAATATATATACAAAGGGAATAAATATATACCAGTTAATGCAATACCTTTTTTTTGTAGACACTTGATTTTCAGGAAAAATATATCAAGGGTGCCAACAATTTTCATACCAGATAGAGGTTTCATATAACTAAATAATATAGAGTGATTTGTTTTTTTCCACTAAAGAAATGTAGTGGTACATTTACTTATATTTATGAAGAAAGACTATTTATCTGCAAAGTGTTATAACAGAAATGTAAGAAAAAAATGTTTTTTCAAGATTTTAAGGGTTTCCCCGCTATGTAGTAAAAAATAAAATACCCATTGGTGATTAAATACCACCAAAATAAGCTCTATAGGTCTAAAAAAAGTATATAAAATTCATTTGAGTACAATGTTGCCTGAATGAGTAATTGTCATTCAAAGTGTGACAGCATTGAAAACTGGAAAATGGCCTGGACTGGAAGGGGATGAAGCAGTCCCATCTCACTTGCAGCCAAGGGGCCTGAAAACCCAAGCTGGTGTACTTTTCTTCTTGATAGTATCAACCGGTTCCAATTACATTTTTTATGACAGGCAGTTTAATGTTAATGCATAAGCGATTGTACAAGTATACATAAAAATTGCATTTATTTTTTTAGTTGGCAAATACCACTTTGGAAATCTGATACATTCCAAATAAATATATTCCAGACATTGCAGATTCAGCTTTAAATTTAAAGCCATGAATGAGATCTATTGATTTAAAACCCAATATTATTATTTCATGCATTTATCACAACTCTGTAATTGATCAGTTCAAATTTCTGAAATCATCAGGCAAATTGCAAATGTTCTAATCATTGATCTAATCATTCAGCTATTGAAATATAAAATGGTTTCATTTAACTCTCATTTGATAAAATTAATCTGCTGATTTCCAGATTATATTTCCACATTGGTGGTGAAATTGGATTTCTTTATTTAAATAATGATGTTGTACCATAATTATCATGCATAATATTGTAATTTAAATTGTGGACCAACGTTCAGCCTTGTACATTTTGGAGTCAGAAGTACCAGCTATCAAACTTATCTTTGCTATTGTATGTACAGATACATCATCTTTTGTCATATAAACCACAGCAGTCACTGCACAGCCCGTTGAATTGAACTATACTACAAATCACTCATGGAACTATTACAGATTTCTATGTTAACCAAGCAAAACATTCTTTTGACGAATAGGGCATTTGCTGGATAAAAGCTTGTTGGAACATCTTTGCTTTAAAAGATAACTGCACCTTTGCAGTTGCTTAAGTAAGTGAAACTTTTCATTTACACTTACTTAAGCTTCATTCCCCTTTGCAACACTAGGGTAAGCGATGGCATCTTTCCAGCCCTAGCATTCTCCCACATCCCAAATAATCAAGAACTTTCAATGCAAATGGGAAAATCGGTAAAGCTCAAGAATGTGATCGTTCTCCAGCCTTCTGGCCAATCAATGGGCAGGTGGGAGGGACTAGCAGAATAGTAATAGGTGGGGGGCAACATACTGTATGTCACACACAAGGAATGTCCGGAGATGTAGAGCAGAGCTTACAATTTCCTATGTACCTTTACTCATTAAGGAGCCTGAATGATTGCTTTAATTAATTTTACAAATAGACTTATGGTAAGTTAAATAATTATCTTGCAAATTTAATAAGTGTGTTGAGCTACAGTATATAAAATATTAAACACATATAAGTGTAACTGTGCTCTAAGTGAACTGATTCATACATAAACTGTGTCATCAATTATTGAAAACAATATATGTGAAATAAAAAATATATAAGATATAAGAAAAATTATATATTAAGTTAAAAAATAAAAATTATATATTAAACTCCTTGTGCCTAGTGTATGTAAACCTCTAGGTGTAATATAACATATAAGAGTGCATATAAATGATAAAAAAAACATGCATAAGTTCATTATACAGATATTCCATATATCAAAATCAATCCATATACAGCGAAAAAAGTGCAAATAGTCCAATACAGTTTAGATGGTTCCAATAAAGTGCTAACACCCTGGTCGCACTGGGTGTGACTTGGCATGCGATTTGCATGCCATGCAACTTGCAAATTGTATGTCAAGTCGCACCCTATTTTCTGCAATTGCTGCGGTCAAATTGGTACGGTCCCGACTTGGTCCGAGCTCCAACGACTTCTAAAGTAGTACATGCACTACTTTTCGTGTCACTTGCATAGACATCTGTATCAGATGTCGTTCAAATCGCACCTGAAATCGGCACATCCCCCGACTTTGAAATCGTGCAACTTCACTGCAAGTCGCGCGATTTCAAAGTCGGGCTTGATGTGACCGGGTGTAAAAATCCGATAAAGTGCTAAATGAATTGTTCAAATGAAAATGAAGCACACAATACTCACTGGCACTTTGAGCTAAATGTCGTGAGCAAAATGAAAGATGCCAAATTTATATCCATACAGTTTCAATGGGTCTCAGTTAGATAATGAAAACACCATTAGGACAACTGTAGAATCATGTCCTGGGATTTCCAATTAAGCATACAGTTATCCTCTCTGGCAATACATCATGCAATCAATCCAGTCATGTCCAGTGAATAACAAAGTATCAATTATAGCAACACCATAGAGAGCAGTTGTAGTTCTAATAGTCCATAAGCACTTGCACCTGGTGACCGCTATGTACAGGGACAATCAGGTAAGTTCACCTGACAGTCGTTCGATCCCATCTCGTAAATCCATCTCAGAAAGAGAGAAGCATCAATAGTGTAAAACCATACTAGAATTATTCGCTTTGCTGCATAAAAAGGAATCACACTTACAGTGTGAGTGTCTGCCCGGCACTAAGGTTACATCGCTTGTTCAAAGTATGCATTGTCAGCTCCTGCGGTGTCTCCAAGCCTTCAATAGGCAGGCTGTGTTGGGTGACTAACCCAACCACCACTTATGCGTTTCAGCGTCAAGCCATCATTAGAGGTTTTTAAAGTATTGTTTTTTAGCACAAAGCTGCAGTTGTTCTTCAAAATGTATTTGCAGCAAATCTATAAGTAAATGTCCAAAGACAAAACATACAGAACTAATGGTCTTTTACTGGCAATCCAAGAACAAGCTCTTTCTTTGGTCCACCACTACTATGTCCACCATCTTGTGACCATTTTAATATATGTCCTTTTATGCTATGGTGAGATTTTTTTTTCTAACCTTTGCTAGATGGCACTTCCACAGAGATAATTCTCTCCTTCCCTCCTGGTGGGACTTCTTTGTTATTCATAGATTTAGTAAGAAGTGGTATAGCTTTACTGCAGTCAACAAACAATATACCAGAAAAAAGATGGCCCATTTATAAGGCACTGTGGCATGCTTTTCTACTCTTCTTGCTTTGGGACACCTAAAATGAAGGTTCAGTGTGGAGAAAAAACTGTAGTGTTATGCAGAGAGCAGATAGTAACATCTGTCCTTCTTTAAAATAGACTTCTACGTGTCAAAGGTTTAATTGGCTAATGCTAGGCAGATACCTGAGTAACATCCTCTTAAACATAACTTGTAGTGTTCACAAATGTTTTAGCAGAGCACATCCCACTCTTTCTTAAGAAAATAACAGACCCAACAGGGGGCTACCTACTAATGACCTCACTAATGACCTTTCCCACAGCTACATGTACAGATTTTGTTGGTAGGGTTTTTAGTAGTTGAGAGCAATAAATTTCCACTTTTGGACACCATGGGGTTGATTTATGAAAGGCCAGTAGGCTGTTCCTTTGCAAGGAAATTTTCCCTTAGTCCAATCATGTGCAATTATTTTTTTATTTTTTTCTTGTCCATGATTGAGTATCATTTGCAAAATCAATTTTCACCACATTTACTAAACTAAGGGAAAATTCTCTTGCAAAATGAACAGCCTATTTGCCTTCAGTAAATCATCCCACATGTGTGGGGGAACTTATGTGGCCCTATAGTATTAAAAGTGTGTCCAATGAATAACAAAGTGTCAATTATTAGCAACACTAATTTCTACCATAGAGAGCAGTTGTAGTTCTAATAGTCCATAAACACTTGCACTTGGTGACAGTTATGTACAGAGACAATCAGATAAGATCACCTGACAGTCATGAGCACAAATCACAAGATATTCTGTATCAGGGGCGGACTTACAACTCATGGGGCCCCCGGGCAATAGGGGATCATGGGGCCCCTGTGTCCTTGCCCAAACTCAAAAAAGCCTATGAAAAAGGTACCAGGGGCATCTCATGGGCCCCCTACTGACCCCAGGCCCTCGGGCAGTGCTCAAATGGTCAGTCCGTCCCTGTTCTGTATAAAAAAATCATGTTTACTGTTTTATCTCCGGAGATTTTCCACTACAGATATTGATATTGTTATATTGTAGCTTATTCACCAGCATACTTTACATTGTCACAATGTATCAGAGAAAAAGTGTCAAAGTAGGCCAATCTAAAGAAAGAATAGATTATCTATATACAATGCAATCAGTATGCAAGTGATATGCTTAACAGCTAACATAATGATGACTACATTAATCAATGAAGATGTGCACACCTTTTGTTTTTCTCTCATTAATTCTTTTGCTTCTAATTCTTTTAATTGATGTTCCTATTCTAGTCATGTCAGACTTCTGAAATGAAAGCAGACACACAAAAATGGAATACATGGTTAATGTATTATTCACAATGACAATACTGACAGATTACTTTAAAAATGTTGATAGGGAAAGGGTTCATGGCATTGCTGTAAAAAACAAAAGTATCTGAATTGCTGTAAATCAGATGTATAGCCATGTAGAAATTGCATGGATATTATCATTTCCTTTTAATCTCATGTATTCTGTTTAGATGTAAAGTGTTGATATTGTATAGTATGTCTTCTCAGCTTTCTTTTTTCTTCTATTTTCAATTATTCTTTCTAATGACAAATGGTTATCGTTTTCATCTTTTTTAACTCTTTTTATGGGTTAGAAGTTAGCGCCGTCATTATTGTCTACATATATACTTTTTATGTTAAATGAAATTATAGATATTGCCCTGTGTGTCATACATTCCTTGGGGAATCCTAATAATGCTGCTATTCTGACACATTCTATGAAACAGAAAGACCTCAAAAGTCCTTAAAAAAAAGAAGTATTTGGTAAATATATATTGTGATGAGACTTTAGCCACATATGTTGTGTATTGTTTTCAATAACACTAATTGCATTATAGGAAAAAAATCAGTAAAGCACAACCATTGTATAGCATTGAAAAGCAGAAAACATACAATACAAACTATACACCGAAACAAGTTTTTTTAAAGCAATAACACCAGTAGATAATACTATTAACCTCAAGCTAATCTCTTTTATATGTAAGTCTTACAAAAGTTTAACCACTTCAATATCGGGCACGTTTATCCCCTTCCTGCCCAGGCCAATTTTTAGCTTTCAATGCTGTTGCACTTTGAATAACAATTGCAGTCATGCAGCAATATACCCAAACTACATTTTTATAATTTGTTTTCACACAAATAGAGCTTTCTTTTGGTGGCATTTAATCCCAACTGGGTTTTTTATTGTTTGCTAAATAAATGAAAAAAGGACTGAAAATGTCGACAAAATGTGTTTTTCTTCGTTTCTGTTAAAAAATTTTGCAAATAAATAATATTTGTTCATACATTTATGCCAAAAATGTGTTCTACTACATTTCTTTGGTGAAAATGCCCCAAATTAGTGTTTATTATTTAGTCTGTAGGAAAGTTATAGCGTTCACTAACTATGGGATATATCTGGAAATCGATCAATCCTGCACAGTACAGATATCCCCAAAATTACCCCTTTGTGTGTGTGTGTGGGGGGGGTCAGGGACTCTGAATTTACAAGAAAATGTTTGCTTTTCAAGGTAATATTCCCTTAGCTAAGTGAAGGTGGATAAATTTGACTTTGGAAAGAATATCTAATCATATGCAAGGGAAATTTGAAAAAACTGTATTTTTGCTTGCAGATGATTGGATGAGGGAAGTCAGCACAGCTTCACCTCACTCAATAAGCTATGGGAAAATGTGAGCAGCCTTTTTCCTTTAGTAAATTAAACCTTTTATGTTTCTTTTTGGCTACTTTTAGTCATGCTATAACAGCTGACCATATACACTTGATCTGGCCTCCATACAATCTTTCTACTGAAAGCATGTTGTAGTATTGCCATTTATTGGCTAACTAAAGATCACAAAACCATTTGGTTGCTTTTTTGGATATTACAAGTATGGTATAGTGTCTGACAAAATAGGGAACATTTCAAAAGCTTTCATTTTCACTTCACTAATAAGGGTGACACTTAAAGCCCAACTCTGAACTCTGACCCCCAACCCCCTTCCAACAGTAATTTTAATACTTGTCTTCAATTGTCATATTGTTTGCAGTGTCCTCTTCCTCTTTGGATCTTCTCCCAGCATTGGGAAGTCCTCAGTTATACGCATAGCAGATGTGATGACGTGTGCTCCACCCTTCATTACAAAATGAGTGCAGAGCTCCATGGTGAAACTCTCTTCAGGGGTGGTTCCATGATGATCTGCACTCACTTGTCCTTAGTCTTCCAGGTTGAAAGAAAATGGCCACCATTAAACCTACAAGACTAAGGACATCCAGTGGTGGAATTGAATATATATATATATATTTTGCTTTACAACACGGTGCATCTTTAAAAAAAAAAGTACAAAGTTGGGCTTTATATTCCAGATATTCTCCATGAATCAGTGACTAATGTGATACAACATTATGTTCTATTTACATACAAAGACTACTTTAAGCAACACCATGATTTTTGTCTCTGAAAAGAAATTGCTAAATTTCAAAACTCTAGGGAAAACCACTTGAACCCTAAAGCTAATGATTCCTTATCTTCAGTAACAATAATTACCTCTAGACAAAATAACAATAAAAACAGTTTCTATGTTTGACAGTTAATTTACTAATGAAAATATGCACTTAATTTATAATAAAGTCATATTGACTGGAGATAATTCAGCGCTGATATTCATCGGAATTATTTTTATTGTTGAAGACTTCTATTAAATAAATTGAAAAGGATTAATTTTGCAAGATGAGATTGTCACAGACTGCTGCATAAACTAGATTCATGTCAGCACTAAATTTAATTATTGATCGCAATACAATAGTGCTGAGAATATCAATCCCCAAACAGCTTCCAGTAACTCTCAGCAAATTCCAAATATAGAGCTCAAGCAAAAGTGTGATTGCAAACGACTACATTTTTAATAAATATTTCATTAACAATTTCAAAATCCAATTTATCATTCCATACTGTCCAGTTATGACTTGCACTATAGACATTATTTCATTAATATGCTAGAGGCTATGTATGATGTTTACAGATTTATTGTCAGTCCAGTACAGACAGTATTGCTGCTTTTAATGAATTTTACCTATGTAGAAGTGTTATTATGAAACATCAGCAATGACTGAATTTAGCGATACGATTATATAGATAGCTTCAAAAATGCTTTCTAGGCAAACCTGGAAGTTTAGAAAGGTTATGCATTCAAGTCACTTAGTGTACTAGCACAGATATTTAGATTTTTTTATCCCTTGCTTTGCATTAGACAGAACCCCGGGTGAATAGTAGTGCAAAGTTCTAGGCAACTTGGCATTCCGAGAACACTAAAAGTAAATTTGAACCCCAGAATTAAAAATGAATATGTTGCAGCTTACTAGTTCTTAGATGTGGTGTCTGCATTCATTTTGTTTTTAGGGCTAAGTATATTTCTTCAAGTACAGAGAAATACCGGTTGATGCTTTAAAAAAAATCTTGTCCTTTTGACAGAGTTTGGGTTTACACATATATTTTAAGGAATATATATGATTATGTGCAGTTGTATATCTGGATGTTAATCAAGTAAGTCACATAGGCTTTGATTGTCCTTGTTTCTTCATATGCACAATTAATAAAATAAGGACTAGTTTATGCTTTCATGGGAAACTGGTTATGATAGGAATATAACTGGGTGCATTGCACTGGCTTGTCAGTGATCTGACAAGTGAACGTAATTAGCATTAAAATTCAATCATATGCAAAACTAAAAGTGTGCATTAAGGATTCTTTATCTGAAGCAGACCTTCATTGCTTTGGGAAGAGATGACATAAGATGGAATTCCATACCTGTGAGAATGCAGCTTATAGCTCAGTTCTTGAAGGTTGCTGGCTAAGTAGAATTTATGAATAAGGGTACAGATACCAAAGGTAATTTGCCGAATGTGTCCAATGGCAATGAATGCAGTGCTTTCTGAAAGTAAGGCCATAGAGTATAACCTATTAGCTGCTCTCCAAAGTACAGCTAGACAGGTCTTTCAACCCATGCCTTTAAAAGTAACATACCATGGGCATGGCTCCACAAGATTGAATACGAATAAAATTGTGGTGCTTGCCTTGACTTTGATGCACTAGGATGTGTGGAGACTGCTTGGTTAAAAAGGAAGGTCATTGGTTATTTTCATAAAGGTGTCTGTAATTGCAAAAATAATGGATAGGAAATTATTGAGTCAACATTAGCTCTTCTGCTGGTGAGAGCTCTGTTTTTGAATTCCTAAGTCTATACATTTACCATTCCAACTACAAATAACTTTCTCTGTTGGAGTTATAAAATGTAATGTAATATGCTAAAGCAAAATAACCTTTTTTAAGCAGAAGTAGAGAGAACCCAAGATGGGTAAGCACATAGCTGGGGAGATCACGCTCCTAAGAGTTATCAGAAACCAGCAGGTTATCCAGTCCACCAGACTTCACTTGAGCCTGGAATGTTGGGTAGACTGACCCTAGAATATTTTTTATAAAAGATTTATGTAAAAAGTTATACTGGAAAAAATATTTTTATCTTTATATGTGTTATTTTTCTGAAAAGTAAGCAAATGCATTTGTCTCTAAACATATCATACAGGCATCTAAGCTGTGTTTTGAACCTTATGTTTCCATAGTAACAAAATACCATGGGAATTTTTTTGTATATACAGAACAATTTGTATACGTATTAAGGTAAATATGTATTTCTTAACATTTATTTATTTATTTACAAATCAATTTTTTTAAAAATATTTCAATGTTTAGTTTTAAATATTTAATGAAATAATAGATTTGGGCTGATTTCTTAAAGGCAAATAGGCTCTTCACTTTGCAAGAGAATTTCCCCCTAGCTTAGTGAGAAGTCAGGGGTGAAACCCTGCTGATTTCCATTATCCAATCACATGCAAGCAAAAATACTGTTTTTTTTCTTATTTTATTTGCATGTACTTGGGTATTATTTTCAAAGTGAATTTTCACCACACATTTACTAAGCTAAGTGGCATTTCTCTGGCAAAGTGAACAGTCCATTTGACTTTAGTAAATCATCCCCATTCTGTACTAATATTTCATTCAATAAAATTTAAGTCCAACTTAAAAGCAAAATATTGTTTTTTAAATGAGGAATGGGGACGGATAGGTTGGGTCACCTGAATAAAAGTTCAATGTTAGCCTACAGGCAGGCCAATGTAAACAGCTGTGTGTTTGCTTGTGGGCAGGGCTTACTGTGCCCAAGTAAGGACCCGGAGCAGGGGCTGACTGACAACTCATGGGGCCCCCAGGCAATAGGGGATCATGGGGCCCCTGTGTCCTTGCCCAAACTCAAAAAAGCCTATAAAAAAAGGTACCAGGGGCATCTCATGGGGCCCCCTACTGACCCCAGGCCCTCGGGCAGTGCCAGAGTTTCCAAAATGCTCAGTCCGCCCCTGACCCGGAGAGAGCACTAACTAGTCCCCTCAATTACTCCTGAGGCTTCACTCCATCTTCTGTGACTTCCAGCCTGGGTCTCTAGGACACTATGTGCCGCAATGACAGACCCAGTATTGGGGTGAAAGTTGCTAGGGAAGAAGCCTAGGCATAAAATATCCTTCAGTACAGGGGACTCACCTTTGCCAAGTTATGCTTCCTGACTGGCTGGCTTCTTATGCACTCAACACTAGTATGGTAGTCTTTAGTAATGGCAATAGAGCCTCCTCCAAATAGCTTCAGTGCATGTAGCCATTGATACTGTATTTTCTCTATCCTGTCTTGTCCAATTTTTAAGCCTTACATGCATTGCACCCCTTTAGGTGTGTTCTAAAGTAACTCAGACCAGAACAAGCTGAATAGCAATAAATAGTCACTACTGAATTTGTTGAAAAGGAAAAAATATGTAATTCACATAGTATATTCAATATACATTCCTGTACATGTTCTGTTAAGTGCCCCTTAGCTATGCTCCTAGTGCCCTTAAATGCCCATGTGGTAGTCGTACCTTAAAAAGGTGAGAAAGTCCATTAGTAGTGGTAAAAGTCCATATCCCTGGAACCCAGGCACGGTTCCCACAGGGGAGGTTAAATGCAAGGAGTTGTTCACATCTTTAGCAGCATTTCATTAAGAGACCTGGAACTGTACCTCTGGCTGTATTACTTACTGTGGAGCCCCCAAGAGGTTGTTCCCTTAATTTTTATGTGTTTGCCCCAGCAGACAGTGGTACTTTCCCCAAAAAACCTGGGAAAACCTGACCAGCAGAGTTAACCCTTACCTGTCAGGGAGCACCACCTCAACAGGGCAAGCACAACTAAACAGTGCTACTAACTCATTTTAGGAAATACAGTTTTACATGAAATGCAAATGAAATAATCGAAACCACAATAGTCAAAACATATAAAAGATATGCAATACAGTAAATTTCTTGGAAGCACCTGCTTACACGCATACATCCGATTACCTCCAAGTCCGTCTAGGTTTGAAAGAAAAAGAAAAGATTTGCATCATTTTCCTTTTTTCAAGCGATCCATTAAAACAATTATTTGATTGAGCTGTACTATGATTGAATGTCTGACATGCAGATATTTGTTTGATCGATTAGAAATAATTGATAAATTTCCACCATGGACATTTACTTGCCAGCATTGAAATTGATTATAAACTCAGTAAATCAAATGAATGGTGAGTCTATAGTTTACAATTCCTATGCAATTTGATCATTTTCATTGCATTAAATGACCAAACTGATCCATGTGTGGCCACCTTTAGTGGTGGGGGGACCATAAACTGCTCTTTTGCAAGAAGCATTGCTGCATTTTTAAATTGCTTGTAAGCAGAAATATTTGATCATTATATATGTAGGTTCAGTTTTTTGTAAATAAAACATTGATTGACAACTCTTTTCACTCAGTTTAAATCTATGGATAATGTCTGGCTTCATGGAAAACTATGTATTCTTTAAAACAGAACTATGCCCACCATCTCCCAGTGGTATCCTGGAACTCCCTGCTTGCCACTGACTTCTTTGGCTAGTCTGCTTTTGGGTATTGATTTCATTTGCCAGGCTCAGATGACATCTCTTCCTCTTATGATCTGGAGTTCTTTCAATTCAGTTTTGCGAGAACTGTACATTGAGCTGTGTATGCACAGCTCAGTGTTCAGTTCAGACAGGCAAGTAGACACGTGAGATTCTTTTAATTTTGATTAGCTTTATTTTATGTATCCAAATCTCCGAATAGACATAGACCAAATTAGAATGAATCCGAAAAAAGTTGACAAAAATTACCTAATGCATTTGTTTAATTTGTTTCATTCAGATGACGTCACATGATGCGATAGTATTTTGAGCCCATGAAGAAGTTAATTCAATTTTCGCATGTGTTCGATAATTCGCTTCAGAAAATGAATGGATTAAAATTTCATTACATTTGCTAATTTGGACGCCAGTCAATATTGTCAGATCAGGTCATGCTATTTTTCTTGGTGGATTTGAATAGCATCCAAAAAAAAAAAACAAAGTCCATCTTACTCAAATTTGCTCAGCTCAAATATATTATGAATAGATAGCAATGTCCCAAAAAAACTACAAAATTTTTTGAATCCACCCAAATCAACAAATATATGAAACAAACGCCAAAGATACAAAATGAATTCCAAAAATGAATCAGGTCAACATAACAAATATGATGAAATGAAAGTCTTCAGTGAACTAATGTATCCGAAATAAAACGAAAATGTCCAGCACGCCCATGTTTACAGACAGGTAAGAAACTTTAATACAAGTAGGAAACTTTAACACCGATGAGGCATAGTATAATTTGCACGATCTCTGAAACAAGTCTCACAAGATTTCCAAACGTTTCACGAGATTTCAAGGAATAATTTATTTCTGCCCAGATGATGTGAACACCATCAGTAGGACATTCCAAAGGCCTAGTAAGCAGAAGTTGGCCATTGATTACTTTGATTTTTAAAATGGCAGTGCAGACTTTCCAGTATGGGTGGACAGAGAAAGGTCACAGCAAGTCCAGAATCTTATTGATTTGTTAAAGAGGGAGGGTAGAGAAGATCCATTAAAAAAAAAAGTTTATTTATTTATTGTTAAGGTTTTCATACACTTTAAAGGGCTAACGGAGATGGTGTAATTCAGCAAAAAAAAAAAAAAAACATTTAACATGAAAACATTCCAGGAGATGCTCTCTAGCAATTAGTGGGGAGAAATATTACCATTTTTAAAAAGAAAATTTAAATAGCAAAATCATTCTCTTTTTCTAGAAATGCAAAATCTTGATTTAAAGCTTTAACATTTTTTTGATTTACCAAACAGAAGATATTTAATCCAAATGTAAACATATTTACAACTCAAACATACAGTAGCACTTTCTTCTGCCAAGACCATTAAATCCACAAAACAGAGACTCAATTACTGACAAAACAAGCCTCCGTGTTTACACTGGAGCTGTAATTTTCTATTGGGAATTAACAGGCCAGCTGTTATAGATAAAGTCCCACTTAACAGCGCATTTAAGAAACTAAAACAATCACAAGTAAAAAGAAATAATTATGTGGTTATCACTTTCAAGGCTGAACTGTAAAATTGGCCATGCAGATGTGACAGGCATTTTTCTATCTTTCAAGGCAAATTGCTTCAATTTACCGCCTGCCACATCTGCAATGTACAAATGGATATGGATGTATGCACATTGCTTCAAAGGGTAAATGTGCCCATGAAAATAATTTAAGCCTAGATTGTTTTTGATGCTCAATATATAACAAAATGTGCCAGTACAGAAGTTTGCTCAACCCTCTACTAGACGGCCCATCAAAGAATGTCTGGAGAGCCTCACATGTGGCCCTTGACACCCCAAAGGGTAATGAGTTATGCTGACTTTTAGAAAAGTTGAGACAGATGAACACCGCAAGTTGTTAGTATGTTATATTTAAATGGTCATATCTATCAGGTTTTGTTAGTTGCTGACAGGTTGAATCAAATCTTAGTTTAGAGATTATTGCTTGAGTATTCAGGACTGCCTGTTTCTTACACCCACCTTTCACTATTATGATATTTCAATTTACACTATTCAGAATGCAGCAAAATGAGTAACAATCTGCTCTTTCAGTAGCACTAGAAGTTTTACTCCATAGTAGTGGAAAGCAGAGCTGTGAATCTTGTCTGGGAGATCTTGCTACCAACTTGCTCAAAGGATAAAAGAAATGCTGGGTCATTCAACCCAACATTTGTTCTTATTATCTGCAGCTTTGAAATCAACCAGTTTTTTTGTGCTCTGGAGAAGAAGTTCAAACTTATTAATGTCACTCTTGGCCAGAATATTGATTTAAAATGATACTTTGCAGGAATAACAATGTGCTTGTAGGCTCTAGCAGCTGTGCAAGGACTCAGGAAAGTGGAAGGTAAAGGCTGAATAATCTTGATATATTACATATTGGGATCAAGCTACCTGCCAGATAGCTTAACCCCTTCCCACCAAACCTTTAAGAGTTCTAAAATCCAGGGAGGTGGAGCGTCATTCAAGTCATGTGACCGCTGTAATTGGCTGTCACAGTGGTCACATTATTATTATTATTATTATACAGGATTTATATAGCGCCAACAGTTTGCTCAGCACTTTACAATATAACGGGAAACAATACAGCAACAATACAGTTCAATACAAGAGGGAAAGGAGGAACCTGCTCCTTGGAGCTTACAATCTAGTAGGGAGGGACTAGTGGTACAAAAAGGTAGTAACTGTGGGGGATGGACTGGTTGGAAGAGTAGAAGATTCTATTATTAGCTGAGGGCAGGATAGGCTTCCCTGAAGAGACAGGTTTTTAGAGATCGCCTAAAAGTGAGCAGAGTAGGCGATAGTCTGATAAATTGGGGTAGAGAGTGCCAGAGGATGGGGGAAGCCATGAAAAAGTCCTGAAGACAAGCATGGGAGGAGGAGACAAGGGAGTTAGAGAGCAGGAGGTCTTGCGAGGAGCGGAGAGTACGGTTTGGATGATATTTAGAGACAAGATTGGTGATGTAATTTGGGGCAGAATTATAAATAGCTTTATACGTTATTGTTAATGTTTTGAATTTTATCCGTTGGGCAATGAGAAGCCAGTGGAGGGATTGGCAGAGAGGGATGGCAGATACAGAATGGTTAGTAAGGTGGATAAGTCTGCATTCATGATAGACTGAAGAGGGGATAGCCTGCAATTAGGTAGGCCAATGAGGAGGGAGTTACAATAGTCAAGGCGAGATATAACAAGGGAGTGAATAAGTTGCTTAGTGGTTTCCAATGTTAGGAATGGGTGTTGTAGCAATCGTGCACACAGAGATGGATACGAACCTCCATTTTGGCAAAGGACCGTCCATCTTGTATAATTATCTCTCTCCCTCTTCCTCCTCATCCTCCTCCCTCTCTGTTGAGTGACCTGTGGTTGGTGTGTGTTATTAGAGATCACAGGCAGCAAAGCTAAGTGGGAGGGA